CCCTTGATCATGCCCTACCAGGTCTCCCACACCTTCCTCCCCACCAATTTGGATCACTTGTAGTTCCCTTGTCCCTGGGTTTTTTATCATATACTTTACTAGTTCAATCATATAAAAAAGAGTTGTACAGTCATCACCACAATCAATTTAAGAACAATTCCTTCATCCCTGTACTCATGGTTATTAGCTCCCATTTCCCCCAACCTCCCCTGTTATTGTCCCAAGGAACCATTAATCCAATTACTATCTCTTTAGAATTACCTATCCTGGATTTCATATACAGAAAGCTATCAAAATACAATGAAATTATACTAACAAGAACAACAAAGAAACAAGATTAAAGTCTCAATCAAACGAAAAGTAAACAATATTGGAACTTTATTAAACAAAAATATTAAAAATGTGAAGTTATTGTTCCATAAAACATCTTGGCTATAGAGAGAGAGCACAAGAAAGATGTTTACTTATGTTTTGTTGACTATGATAACGCATCTGACTGTGGATTATAACAAACTGTGAAATAGCCGGGAGAAGAATGAGGATCCCAGAACTCTCCATTGTGCCTGTGTGGAACGTGCCCTCTGATCAAGAGGCAGTGTGGTGATAGAACAGGGCATACTGTATGGTTTACAATCAGAAAAGATGTGCGTCGGGGTTGTAGCCTCTCCCTATACTTGTTCAATCTGTATGCTAAGCATTTGCTCAGAAAAGCTGTCTTATATGATGATGAATGCAACGTCAGGATTGGAGGAAGGCTTATTGACAAATGTCAATATGCAGATGACACAACCTTGTTCGCTGAAGGTGAGGAAGGCTTGAAGCCTTGCTTAGGAAGATCAAAAATTGCCGCCTCCAATGTGAATTACAACTCAATGTAAAGAAGACCTAAATCCTCACAACCGGACAAATAAGTAACACCCTGAGAAGAACAGAAAAGTTTGAAATTGCCAAAGGTTTTGTCTTGCTTTGAACCACAATCAACGCTCAGAGGAACAGTAGTCAATAGCTCAAACAATGCACAGCATTGGGTAAAGCTGCTGCATAAAACACCTTTAAAATGTTTTTTTTTTAAAAAGTATAATTTTCAGGAGTAAGGTGTGCCTGATTCAAGTCATGGTATTTTCAGTTGCTTCATACGCATGTGAAGTTGGACATTGAGCAAGCAAGACCAATAAAGAATTGATGTATTTGAATGGAAGTGCTGGGGGTGAATATTGAAAGCGCTCTGCACTGCCAAAAGAACAAACAAATCTGTGTTGGAAAAAGGACAGCCAGTATGCTCCTTAGAAGCAAGGATGGTGAGACTTCATCTCACATACTCTGGACACGTTGTCAGGAGGAACTAGTCTATGGAGAAGGCTGTCATGCTTGGTAAAGTAGAGAGACAAAGAAAATGAGGAAGGTCCTCAACAAGAGGGATTGACCCTGTGGCTGCAAAAATGGGCTCCGACATAACAAGTGTGAGGCTGGTGCAGGACCCCCGTCTTTCATCCTGTCGTACGTAGGGTAGCTATGCATTGGAAACAACTTGATCGCACCACCTAATGATGATGGGAGCAATGAGCATATACAGATTTGGCAGATAATATTTCTGCATATGGATTTGCTATGTGCTACAAATATGCCCATGCATCTCATATACAGTTGAACACACAGCAAGTAATACTGTGAAAACGACTTAATTATAACCAAACACTTTTAGAGGATGCGTTGCTGAGCTTGGGGACCCAGCCCACAGTCTTAGGGTACAGACTGGTCAAATGGCCCCGCATAGCCCACAAAGATTAGTCCAAAGGTTAATGGACCACCAGTATTATAACATCCACTATCCAAGACTAGAACCACTAGGTGTATCCTGCAACCACCGCTGACTGCTTTGAGAAGGACCATAATAGGAGATCCTAGGACAGAAAAAGAAACAACAGTTAAATGTAGAGCAAAATTCAAAATTCAGAGTCACAGCTCTGATAGAGCTTGGTGAAACCTTTGAAACTTGGGCCCTCAGACACCATTCAGGCTTGGAAATGACCCCATTCCCAGGGATCAACATTCAGTCAAACAATAGGAAATCCTAGGAAGTTGCACGTAATAGTATAATCAACTGCGTGAGACAAAAAGACGGCATTGTGCAAAAGCAAAGCTCAGCTATCAGGAAGGGTCAGAAGAGAAGGGCAAATGGAAAGGAGGAACCCGGCGAGGAGGCGGCAAGAGTGGTGTTACAATGAGGGACTTGCTGGGGATGCCACCAAGCAAAAGGTATATACATTGTTGAATGGAAAACTAATCAGCACGGAATCTTTCACCCAAAGTACAATAAAATCCAAAAAATAAAGTAATGTTGCAGAATGTAATTTTACATAGAATTTACCAATACAAAATCATCAACTATCTAAAATGAATGAAAACTCAGAAGTAAGTCTCAAAGGGCCCTGAGGAAGCCACAAGGGTGCCATCCGAAGCTTACCTCGCCAACTGTAAAGAGAGACTGCGGAGCTCTCCTCGCCCAAGCTCCATTTCCAATCCATTTGGTTGGTTGTTCTTATCTCCCACTA